GTGCATGCAGATCTTATCTCTCTATAAGATTTTGAGTTCCTAGTGTGGGGAGAGGTTTGAGGAAGGGGACTAGGAGGCAGTGAAAAACACAGGGGCTTAAAATTCAGGTTGAATCTGTACTTTAATTTTAGCTCTCCACTTACCAGCTGAGTAATGTTGCACAAAGTTACTTAATTTTTCTGAGCTTTCCTCCTTTGTAATGGGAACATCATCATCTTCATCCTTTTTTCAGGGTTGTTGGGAAGATCAAGGGGATAATGAATGTAAAGCCCTTGCTTCATACAGTTTGTGGCAGAGAGTAACTCTATGAATATTAGTTCCATTTGCCCCTTCTGTATTTTACTTAAGCCGAACACACAGTAGGACTTCAGCAGGTATTTGTTAAATTGAGTTGAACATGACTTGATCTTTTACTGAGTGACAATACTGAAAAGACAGTTTCAGTGGATACACATCCATGTCAGTCAGTGCACCCACCCATATATTGACAAGCTATCTTTTCACATGCAGATACATGTGTGACAACAAATATACTGACATTACACATGGTCAGGCATCTCTTACACACACTAGAAACGTGTACATGGCATCAAGCTGTTCTCAGTTGCTGGCGCCAGGAGTACAATGTGGTGGAAAGAGAGTGTGCTTTGGATTCATTCACGACTAGGTTCAAATTCTAGCTCACCACTCACTTAGTAGTTGTGTGATCTTGGTCAAGTGATGTAAGTACTCTGAACCCCGGTTTCCTTACCTAGAAAATGGAGGTATACTAATAGTACTCACCTCAGAAGGTTGTCGTGAGGATTAAATAAAACAATGTATGGAAAGGGCTTATTCTTAGTTTTGTCACTGCGTGGGTAACTTTCCTATGAAGGTCAAAACATGGTTGGTACCCATTCTTCTCCCCACAGCTTTCTGACCCCAGTTTACAAGCTCAAGGGATCCCTAACTGGGATATGAGAAAGCATCTGAGGGAGGTGACACTTGAGCAAACCTTGAAGGATATTAGCCAATTAGAGAAGACGTTTCAGGCAGAGGAATGCAGTGCTACATCCTGAAGACAGCACATTGATAGTTAGCAAAAGCATGAATAATAGTTCAGGATTGTGGGAACATCCTAAATAAGACCAGAGAGGTATGCAGGGGTTTTTTTTTTTTAAGGAAGATTAGCCCTGAGCTAACATCTGCTGCTAATCCTCCTCTTTTTGCTGAGGAAGAGTGGCCCTGAGCTAACATCCATGCCCATCTTCCTCTACTTAGTATGTGGGATGCCTGCCACAGCATGGCTTGACAAGCAGTGCATAGGTCCATATCCAGGATCCAAACTGGCGAACCTGGGCCACTGAAGCAGAACGTGAGGACTTAACCATTGTGGCACCAGGCTGGCCCCTGTTTGGATTTTATTTGGAGGGCTTTGGGGAGCCATGGAAGAGTTTTAAACAGAGAAATGACATATCCTGTTTTTAGAAATTGTATTTTAGGAAGATTAAAACCATTCACCTCAGTAGAGAGAATGGGGCACCCTGGGGTGCAAGGAGAGTAGCCAGAAGGCAATTACAGTACCCCAGGTGAGAAAGAGAGGCAGAAGCAGTGGGGATGAAGATATAGATAAATCAGAGAAATGTTCTGGACTTAAAGCCACAGGAAGTCCAACATCTGCAACCATTCTAAACATTGACTAATTATTTTCCTATCAATGATGAGTGTAATTTTCTTTTTTTTGGATAAAATTTTAAAAATTAAATAACTGATATGTTTTGCAGTATCTGCTAATCATACTTTCCTGTTGAACAACTTTGATGTTGGAATAAGCCCATGTGAATGTATGTGTGTGTGTGAAATTTGAAGAATTTGAGGAGGGAATTCTATTAGCGCCAGATCAGAGGCATAGATCTGAAATAATAATAATGAGAAAGATAGCCAGCATCTCTTAAAATACCCTGTGTGCTGGGGAAACCAAGGTGGGGGCAACTGCAATTTATTGTAGAGGCAGAGGTAAGTGTGAGAACGAGGTAGTGGCAGACATAAAATACTATAAAAATACCACCTAGGGCTGGCCCCGTGGTGGTAAGTTCATCGTGTTCCACTTTGGCGGCCCAGGTTCACTGGTTCAATCCTGGGCACAGACATATACCACTTGTCAACCGCGCTGTGGCAGTGACCCAAATATAAAGTGGAAGAAGATTGGCACAGATGTTAGCTCAGGGCTAATCTTCCTCAAGCTAAAAAAAAGAGGAAGATTGGCAATGGATGTTAGCCCAGAGCTAATCTTCCTCAGCAAAAAACAAAACAAAAAAACACAACGCCCCCCTCCCCCCCCAAACCACACCACATATACAACATCAAACCTTTGGATTTAACTACCAGTTTATAAGAAATGTGGGCACTGAAGCAAATATGAAATTACATCATGAGGATGTAATTGGCCAAGTCTGGAATGTGGAAAATTCTACAAGATATGTAATGTGATTTCTTTAACAAATAAACTGCATACAAGAAAGAAAGAAGGAAGGAAAGGAAGGAAGGAAGAAAAAAAAGGTGAACTGTTACACATGAAAAGAGACTTAAGAGACATATTTATCAATCAAATGCAAAGTATAGAACTTGTTCAGATCCTGATTCAGATAAATGGACTGTAAAAAGACATTTTGGAAACTGCAGTTTCCAAAAAGTTGCAGTTTGGAAAAATTGCACATGGATAGGGTATTAAATGATATTAAGGAATTATTGTAAAGTGCGATAATGATCTTGTGGTTATATTACAACAAAGTCTTTGTTAGAGATACGTATTGAAGAACTCACAGCTGAAATGTTATGACGGTTTACTAGAGATTTACTCAAAAATACATCAGGGGAAAAAAAGGTTGTGGGACAAAAGGTGAAACAAGAATGATAAAGTGTTGATAATAGTTGAAGCTAGGTGATGGACACATGGAGCTTTATTATTCTATCCTACTCCTTTTGTGTATGTTTGAAATTTTCCATAAAAAATTAAAAGCAAATACTACGGGAAAGCCAGAATCTCTTTCCATTCCCAAACATATGAAATAACTAGAACATTCTTGCTGTAACAATTTCATAAGAAGGGATCAAGATTGGAGGGGCATCATTTAAAGGGTGAGTGGAAGGAGAGAGGCCCTGGGGACAGGAGGGTAGAAGGAAAACTGGTTTTGAGTGGTGTTGAAAAAGCCAAGGAGGAACACAGTTTCAGGACAGAAGGATCAACCATGTTAAATATGGCATATGTTAAGAAGGAAAGGATTAAAATGACTCCACTAGACATACAACTAGGAGGTCACTCTTGACCTTGACAAGATCAGTTTCAGTGGTGGTGGGAAGATAGGCAACCTTTCCAATTTGACTGTGAAGAGGAGAGGTGAAGATCGTAATCTTTCTTTTTCCCCCAAAGGAGAAACTAGGGCATTTTTTTTTTTTTTATTCTGAGGGGAAGTTGCCATTTGAGAATGTTTAACAACATAGGTGAAGAGAGGAATAACTGACTGACTCACAGAGCAAGGACCCTTACTACAAGAGGAAATATTTAGAACAAATTGATGTATATCTCACTGAAGCAGATAGCTTGTTTTTCTGATCATGGCCAGTTTACTTTCCTACTTTACTGTAACTCCCACAAACTGTTCTGGAGTATATTTTTACTCATAAGTCTCATACAACAGATATATTTATCTCAGTTTTATTGCGTGAAGAACTAAGATTTTTTATGACTGCACTTTAGGCACACCTTTGGGTTCTTGAATAAAATTGCACTCTTCGTAGGGTTTTCCCTTAAAAAAAGGTTTTCCGCCACAAAAAAAATGAGAAGTTCTACCTCTTCCCTGCATTGGGACCCTTAGGACTCTTTAGTTTGTCTACTATTCTTGTTTCAAAAACTTCACTCAACCTACTAAAAAAAATCCACAAAAACTTTTCAAGAATTTGTCTTTCCCATCATCACCAACGTATAGGGTGATTAGGTCTGCATTTCCAACTCTTATTGCCATTTCAAAGATTATTACAAACTATTAGAATCTCCAAAGCCAATTACATACTGATTACGCTGACCAGTTTACGTCCGAATTCCACAGAGGAGTTGAACTAAGATGGGTAAGACTCAGATATTCTACACGTCAGGGCAAACTTCTCATTCTCAGCGTTACTGGGGGGCGGATGTTTTGGGAGTGGGAAGAGGGAAAAAGGAGGAGAGCAGAGAAACTCCTCTTTCTCAGATTTCAGGGTGAGATGAATGCACCTGACGTCCGCGTGGCATAAGAGCTCCGCCAGCTGACTGAGGCCGGGCTGGACAGGGGCTGGGACTCCGGGCCAAACGGACGACTCCGCCCAGTGCAAGCACTCGCGCGCTCCCGTGAGGGCGCGCACGCGTACGCAGTCTTGTCTCGCGCAGGGCCGGGCCTGTCAGGCGAGAAATCTCGCGAGATCGAAGACTGGGATGACTGTCGGGAGGAGGGGAGTGGTGTTGGGGAAGGGGGGGGAACCTGGGCAGCGGCCGGGTTCTGTGGCTTCAGGGCTTGGGGAGAGAGAGAGGGAGGGTGGCAAAGAGAGTGAGTCGGTGCCGCCGCCTGCCTGAGGAAAGAGGAGGGGTCCCGCTTGCCTGCGCCCTTCGCGGGCCGAGAGTGCGAGGCAGCCGCGAACCTTTGAGGCCTCCCGGCCCCTGGGGACCCCGCCCCACCGCCGGCCGGCCGGCCCGCGGCCTCTCTTCTCTTTGTGAGCGCCCCCTTCCCAGGGGTGGTGGTGGTGGCGGAGGGCTGTGCGTGGGCCCGCCCGCCGAGGGGCCGCGGCGGGGGACCAAGAGGGCCTCGGCTGTGTGAGGACGGGAGGCGGCCGAGGCCCGGGCCGGTTCCCCCGAGGCGGCGGTGGCGGCGGCGGCTCCCGGCTCTCGGCACTTCCCCGCGCCATCTTAGCTGAGCCCAAGCGCTGAGGGCGCCTCTTCGACCCCAGTCGTCCCCTCGCCCCC